AAAAATTATTAGTAGTTATCTCTTCAATTAAAGAATATGCTTCATCGAATGCTTTTGACATTAATGGTTCACCAACAATAGCGTCAATTATCGATCTAAGAGATCCAACCAATCCATTATAACAAGTTTGAATTATTAACCAATCTGGCAACACAAGGTGTGGACATTTTCTAAGGAGATCTTTAAATCTTTCCTAGGCTTCATAAATAGATTTCCCTTCAAACTAAAAAAAAAAAAGATGTAATATGATTTTTCTGAGCTTAGCAGTTTTTTAAGGTCGGAAATATTTAGATAAAAATTTTGTAATAGCAGGTTTAAGCTCAAATTAATTAGCAGCTACAGCAGAATTTTGTATATTCAAATGGATTTCATCTGTTGCTAGTTTTATCCTCAGTGAAAAAAAGATCTAAGTCTGACAACATCATTCGACACTCCATCATATTTAAAAGTAGCATAAATTTCTAGAAAGCTAGCAAGGTGTAAATTAGGATCTTCAGTTGGTGTTCCCCCAAACTGATTGTTTTGTACCATTTGGATAATAACAGGTTTATGCTCAAATTAATTAGCAGCCACAGCAGAATTTTGTATACTCAAACGGATTTCATCTGTTGTAGGATTAGCATAATCTCTTAAATGTCTCAGATGATGTTCATTTTCATTTCCAACAATACTTAAATTGCAAGTCATTTTGCTAATATTATCTATCTTTATTTGTTGTTTTCAAATTTTTCTAATCATTCTTTCTAACTCAGAATCGTAAGATACTAAATTTTCAGATTTTACACAACGCATGAACAAACATAACAATTAATTATAAATAAGCAAACACACTTAAATAAAAAAATATTCAAACTAATTTACAAAAACTTTTTTTTCTTTTGTTTTAATAATAAGAAAACTATAATTATAAAATAACTTATTAATACTTTCCATTACTTCCCCGGCAACTGCTCCAAAAACTTTATATGGGTGGATTTAGTGTGTTAATTTTGTAAATATTTTTCAATATTAGAAAATACACAAGATAGACACAATAGCAAATATGCAAATTAATCCAAAAAAATATAACTTTAGTGAAAATAGTTTTATCTTTTAAAAATCTTTAAACTGCCAAATCCCCTTTAGAAATAACACAAGTATACGTATCACTCAAGTAATAAAGGGCTCTAATAGAGTCCTTGATACCGATCTAACATGGAAGTTGGAAATGCCTAAAAATAAATTCTTAAGATTATAATGCAAAGTACAATTTTTAAACTATTAAGAGTAAGGTACTAAATTTGAATATTAAGTAACAAGTGAATGCTAATTAAAATGCAGTTGAATGTCAAAGTTAACTATACTAAGTATTAAACTTTTGAAAGTAAACTTACGAAAACTAATAAAGTTTTTGTAACAAAAAGTTTAAATTTAAGAAAAGCGACCTTCCCCTTTATAATGAGTATATAGATTGTGAAGAAATTAAAATTATTTGAAATATATATATATATATTATTTTGTGTCAAATAGGAGCAATCCTATTATTTACCCTCTTCCAAGTGCATAAAGAACATTAACTAATCCAGAGTTTGGTCACTAATTCAGTGGTTAGGCTGGGAGGATACCAGCTGCCACTCCAAAGTTCCTACTACTCCCTCACTTGAGGGCTACTAATCTCGCATCAATTTCCAATCAACTGGACTAAATTGAGGATCTTAATCTGTCACCTTAAAATCTCTAATTCTGCATCCAATAAAGTATATTTCTCTGTTTATTTGCACCCAACTCCATGGATGAAATACTCTCCCATGAAATCAAATGTGATTCTCCCCATGTTGTATAAATCATAGCCCTTTCGGAACATATGTTTCTTAACACATTTTAACATTTAAATTGGTCAGATCAAAAAGTAAATGAATATCAGAGTTCAAATCTTCACAAATTATTGACATTGAAAATCATATAAAATAAAATCAATTCTTCACAAAACTATATCTCAAAACAGGAAGAAGGATAAAGAAGACTACTCAGAATTCATGAGAATGATATGATAAAACACTGATTTCATATAAAAAATTAGTTTACAAAACAAAAGAAATAAAAGACACAACTTATCTCACAATCCTTCCCAAACAAATCTCTATAAGTTCTCTCCAAGCATTTCTCTCTTTATAAGCACTCTCAATTCTCTCTTGGAAGTGTAATGAAGAAGAAATATCTAACATTCCTTACCCTTTTACAATCCTTGAAGAAAATCTCCAAGCCCTTGACTTTCTCTCTCTCTTTTTTTCTTGTTGCCCCACTTTACACGCCCTCAAAACCTTCTTTTCAAGCCCTAGACTTCCCTCTAAAAAGAATTCAAAATTCTCTCCAAAATTCTATCCAAAAGTAAACTCTTTTAAATTTAAAAGACATGTCCTTTGATCAAAGAGACATATCCCTTCATAAAAGAACCATCCAAAGTGTCTAGATGCATTGAATCACTCCAAGGGGTGTTTAGAACAAGTGTACCTTTAAAAATTCATGTAAAATTCATCTCGAACCTCCTTAATCCGCAAAAAGTTGTCTCTAGCGCATCTTGCGCCAAATATGGTGCATCTTGTGCCAAATCTGGCATATCTTGCCCTAGCTCTCCATTAAATGGTGCATCATGCACTAATTTGGTGCATTTTGCGCCAGTTTGCTGAAGACTTGTACTGGGTTTTGTCGCATGTTATGCCAGTTCTCTGTATATTGGTGCGCCTTGCACCAGTTCTATGTATATTGGCGTATCTTGCGTCAGTTTGCTAAAATTCGTTGTTTTGGCTCCAAATGTCGTCCTTTTTGCTACTTTTTCTCCAAATACATAAAGTTGATATGCCTGCAACAGAAACATGAAATACCCTTCTTTAAAGTGCAATATCACCAAAAATAAGTATAAAATGTATACTTAAAACAACATATTACTTTGGTGTATCACATCTCTGTCATCATCAACAACATCAAGACTCCACGTGACATTGTTTGAGTTTTGGCACTTTCCAACCAAGAGTTGAAGTGGCTCGTAGTCCGTTCCTCTGTTTAGCATGGTTCGATGGTTTGACCTGATTGCAGTCGTCCATTACCAATACATGGAAGTGGATGACATCAGTTCATCATCCCTACAAGACAATGAACTGAAGACCGTTCATGATCAAATGCTAATTTTTACCTCAATTGTTCATGAAATCTCGTATAACTTGTTCTTAAAGCTTCCTCTAACCTAGGCGAACACATCTATACTGTTGACCAAGCTTGGTGAATTTATTTATTTCACAACAGGCCAAACCCGAAGCAAATTTTAGGGTTTTCAATCCATACCTTGTCTCAGGAGGTGTAGCCTCTATTGAGCTTGACAGAAACGATCTCTTTGACCCTACGAAGCTTCTCCTTAGCTCAATTTGGATTGAAATCAGCTCTAGCTATGAGCTAGTTCAAATATTGGCTCGATTTGGTCTTGAGATAGGTTCGAGTTCACGGGAAAGCTTGATTTTGATTTGGATTTTCTTCATGATGCTTGGGGAAGCTCTTAGAATGTTTGTATTTGAGTTTGGACAAGGTTCATGACAAGGCCAAATTTTGTCCTAGGTTAGTGTTAGGAAATTAGGATTACCTAGTGGGGTTAAGGGCCTGAAGAGATGCAGGATCAAATGCTTATGTCTAGTAGAATATTTTCTCGGTTGAAGGCCAATGGTTTGGGAGTCCTAGTGGAGACAATGGTAATTTATGGAGCTCTCGGTTCCACTTTTTAATGGCCATGGGGAGCTTGACAAGGCCTGAGATAGGCTCAGATTCATGTGAAGCATTCTTGGATGAATTAGGAGTTTCTTTCCCTTTTTTGGAAGGATTGACCACGGTGGGGGAGAGAGAGAAATTCCATGGCTTGAGGGCATTGGAGGGAATTGGAGGTTTGGTTGTTGAGCTCAGCCATGGTCTGGCTTGACTCAAGCATGAGACAATTTGAGCATTGGAGACTTGGTTGCCAAGTGTAGAAGGAAGAGGTGGGTGTTAGGTTTTCTCTTCATCTCTCTAAATTTATTTTTAAATTTTTTTGTTTTATTTGGACTTATTTAGGGTTTAGGTCATCCCATATCCTATTGGGTTATCTTAGGTTATGGATGACTCATTTGGGAATGGACCATGGGCTTGGTACAAGGGCTTGGACCATGGTTTTGGATCATGGCTTGAGGCTTTAAGGTTTAAACATAATCTAAAGTCTAATAGGCCATAAAACCATCCTTTTAATTAATTAATTAAAAGAATGATAAAGTTGACCATATGATCATGGGTTGACCATATGGTCTATGGGCTGACCACATGGTCATGGATTTGATGGAGGGGTGAAATGGTCAATTTGGTCAAATTTTGGCTAAATTAGGGTTAGTTTTGACCATCTTAGTATACCGTCAAATTTTGGGTCCAAAAGGGTACATTAGGGTTTTGTTCTGATTTTTGGGGTTTGGGACGCCACTGCTGAGGTCAAGGATCAATTTGTGTAGATCCTTCTCCCATGGTGGATTTGGTGGTCAATATGTTTCCTAGGGTCTATAGGGAAATTTCTAGCGTTTCATATTGATTTGGGGGGATCTAGGGAAAACAGACAACAGACAACTCCCTAGGGTTGCAAGTTGATCTAGCTGATCTGGGGCATATCTACAGACAACTCCCTAGGGTTGCAAGTTGATCTAGCTGGTCTGGGGCATATCTAGCCCCTGGTAGTAAAATTGGGTTCGCGTAAGGCATGTCTAGCCCATGGTGGTTAATTTATGTTATCACTTGGTCAAAACCCTAAACATACTCAACCAAGGATTGGGGGCTTAAACTTGCACTGATGAGGCCGAAGAAAGCACAACCCTAGTCTAGGGTCATGTATAAGTGGGTGGGATAAGTTCTCACAAAAGTTAGGTGAACATGTTAACTTTTAGGTATAGGTATATATAAAGCTAAAAGAAGTGTCTAGAAAGTATGTAAGAGAAAATGTAACGATGTGTTGATAACAAAAAGTTGGTTGAGGTATTATGTTGTCCTTTTCTAGTGAGTGAAGAGTTATTCTTTATGATCCATAGCCTCTAACTGGGTTCGCTGCCCTACAGCAGGTTTTCATTTATACATGTACAGGGTCCAATCTAAAGAAAGATAGGAAAGTTCTGCTTCACCACATTCAAATATAATGAAAGATGAGCTGCACTTCTAATTAGAAAAAAATGTTGATAAGATGTGATGCTTCCAAATTTCGCTGCAATCTAAGCAGTACTTTTCGGCACTCATCAATTTGTACATGGCAGTCATCATCAGCAGAAAAAACATGAACCATATCTTTAAGTTCAATCCAGCTTAACCCAGGCTCCTTCTCAACAAATAGACCTCTTATCTTTCTTCTCACTTGAGCCACGTCATCCCAACTACCGATCGACGCATAAAGATTTGAAAGTAATATGTGTGTGGGTAGATCATTTGGCTCGAAACTTAACACCTGCTTAGCTGCATGGTTACCCATGTCCAAATTCTTGCTAACAATGGAGGAGCTCAACAAAATTCTCCATAACTCAGAGGAGCTGTTTCCAAAGGTTGAATCCATGATCATCTCTTCTGCTTCTCGCAATAGTCCCGCTCTACACAGCAAGTTTACCATGTATGTATAGTGCTTCAGCCCTGGTATGATACCATCAGTCATCATACAAAACCAGTAAAACCTGGCTCTCTCAAGCAGTCCACAATGGCTACAGGCAGAAAGCAATGAGATGTAGGTGATGTAATCCGGCTGCAGCTCACTTTCCACATTACCAAATCCTCCAATAATTGAGTTCCAGCAAATTAAATCAGGCCTTCTAATTGTATCGAACATTAATTTCGAACTTTCAAGACTACCGTTTTTTGCATACATATCCACTAGACCTCCAGAAACACCTGAATTTCCTCCATATCCACCTTTTACCACCAGACCATGAAACATCTCACCCTGTCTCAGTGAAGTAAGAAAAGCAGTTGCTTTTATAGCGCTGCTGAGTGAAAAGCTATCAGCTTCATGTCCTTCCACTAGCATACTAGAGAAATATTGTATGGCCATTTCACCATCTCCCAGCCCTGAATATCCAGCCACCATCTCAGTCCATATGACCACATCCTTCTGAGGAACACAACCAAATATCTTCTCGGCTGACAATGGCTCACTATTCAAGAAGTACATGCCAATTAATGTCTGTCCGACATAAACACTCTCTGCCCATCCTGTTTTACTGATCTCAGCATGAAGAGGCTTCCCATAGAACAGTGAAGGAAAACCAGCAGTGGCAGAAACAACAGCGGCAAAAGTGAAATCATCGGGTTGAAGCTTTTCTAAGCAATTCATCAACTTTAGTCTCACAAAAGCATCCATAGCCTTGTCCCCATCACAATTACTTGAAAAACCAGCGATCAAGGAATTCCAAGACACCAAACATGGTTCATCAATTCTTTCAAACACCAACTCAGCCGTTCTCACATCCCCACAGCTTGCGTACATATCAATCAGCGCGTTCAGCAATGGAGTATCAGGTGGGTACTTGCATTTAACAACGTGCCCATGGACGAGCCGTCCTGCATTCAAGTCCTCCGCTTTCCTGCACACAGTCAGAAGCATCGTCAACGTACACGGGGTAGAATCTAATCCTTCTCGTACCATGCCTCGATAAAGCTGCAGTGCATGCTCAATCTCACAACCTGTCAATCTACCGAAGAGCATGGAGTTCCAAGCTATCTCATCTCTTTCAGCCATCTCGTCAAACACCCTCTCTGCCGATTCCAAGCACAAACAACCCAAGTACATTCTCAAAAGAGACGTCTTTACAAACGCATTGTCGTAAAATCCCAAAACAATGACACGGCCGTGAATGGCGCTGCCAGCTCGATGGTTATGGAGGACATGTGCAAGAGCAGAGAAGGTGAAGGCGTTGGGCGTGATGCCGACTGCTGCCATGTCACGGAATAGATGCATGCAAGAAGTGACGTGGCTAGAAAACTTGGAATAGGCGGAGATTATGCAATTGTACGAGACAATATTACGTTCAGGCATTGTTTCGAACAGCTTGTGTGCGTCTTGTAGTGAGCCGCATTTGGAGTATGTCGAAAGGAGGTTGTTGAAGAGAAAAAGGAGAGAGGAGGAGGGGGAGAAGAAGTACGTGAGAATGAGAGCGTGAAGCTGACGGCATTTGCGTAGAGATTCAGATGACGGGAGGTGGCGGAGAGATTCAGCAACTGTTGCGAAGGAGACGTCGTAATTGTTGGGGGAGGTCAGCATCGAACTGATGGAGGCTATTTTCGTCATTTTGTGTTCGGGCAAAATGGAAATTAAAAGTGGGATAGGTTCCGATAAATCTTTTAAAATAATAATTAAATAATGATGTTATGAGTTTTGTAATTGGACAATTTTTTAAGGAAATTCAATTAAGATGACATTATGAATCCAACTAGGCTTAAATAATATAATTGGACTATTTGCAAGGGAATTCGATTAAGAGGACAATACGAATCCAACTAGGCTTGGCCCCTACGTCAGGTGCCGGCTCTAGGCAAGTTTCTGCATTTATGCTCATTTTTAAATTTTTCTTGTCAATTAATTTGTAGAGCTGAGAGAACAAAAGAGAAGGGAGAGCGAGAGTGACAGGGAGAGGGAACAACCCTTGCCCCCATTCGGGCGAAGATGGATTTTGTCGAGACTCTTTGACGTATTGGAAAAGTAAGACAGTTCTCCCTACATGAGAACAATTGAGAGGCAAGAGTGATAGACTCCTTTTACATGTTATAGTCCTCCTATTTTTAGAAGAGAAAAAAAGAGAAAATATAATATTGCATAATTACCAATTGCATAATTACATATTATTTTGATCTTTTCAATCTTTTCGATTATCAGAGATTAAATAAAGCCAATGAGCATTTTCTCTCTCTTTTCAATATTCTTATCATACTTATTTTTTTCCTTATTTTTGTTCCATTTCTTGGGTTCTGCTCGTTCTGCAACAACTTAGGTGGCGGCCAATAGTGGGGGCTTGCCGAGAGGATTTAGGTGGCCTGACTGCGAGGAGTCGGCCCGCCAGCGAGACGGTCAATGAGGTGTGCTTCTTCCTTCATGTGGCTCGGTAGTTGTGAAGGGGATTCATCTATTTTGATTTGCGATGTTGTTAAATCAAATGTTGAGAGGAGGTCGATTGGCCGTTGTGAGGTGGTCGATCGGTTGTTGGGAGTTGGTCAGTGATGTTGCAGTCGTAGAAGGCAAAGGGATTGGCTTGGTGTTTTGGAGACCTGGCTAGAGGGAGTTAGGAGGCTTGCCAAGGGTGGCCAGGTAGATATGGCTAGTAGCCAACTGGTTAGAGAAAGGGTGGTTGGCCATATGTGGCCGACCAACTGGAATTATGACTGACTAGAGGGGTCTAATGATTGATCAACAAGCGGCCCAACAGCTTCAGGTTCCAACATTTTTTGTTATATATAT